CCGCGCAGCCGTGGGAGAGGTCGAGGCTGCCGTGAAACACCCGTGGGACACAGCGCGCGGTTTTCCAGCTGCCTGCAGCAAGGTCAGTGTGACCTATTCAGCCAAGTAATTTGCTTGCCAAACTGGACGATTTTATTGTTATTTTTCTCATCGATCTCCCAGCCATTATAGAATCATACACCATCCGCACGCAGCCCGCGGCCCAGCCATCAACCCAGCTTCTCCTTCAGTACCACCAGGTCAAGCGTTGCCTCCTTGGTTGTGCCCAGACAGTAATTTGTGACTGCGTGTGTATTAATTTTAGGGAAGTAATTCATTTTCTTGCAACGTTAGGGGTTAATTAAATGCTGGCTAATTGCTACCAGTCATTGGAGGAATTCTGCTCCTGAGTCCTTTCATGGCCTGAATGCACCAAAGGAAGAAAAAAGGAAAGAAAGAAGCCCTTTCAAGACCACAGAAAATTGCAAAAAGATGTTTCTTCCAACCCGACATGACAAAATTGAATTCCAAGCTATTTAATGCATGCACGAAACGCCATAGAGAAACCCAGCCCGAGCACTCCATCCATCACAGCAGAGAAAGGGGTTTTGTAACACGAGCACTCACTACGGCACCGACTCAGTGCTTCAAACTCCGGACTTCCAGGCAATTTCGCTTAAATGTAGCTACCAGATTAAGGATTCTCACAGACAAATCGCCAGCATTTCCATGGGACATACAGCTAAGGTAACACTGCGATTATGATCAACATTAACGATGGAGACCTCGGGAAGCCACTGTCCCAGGTGGTGATGGAAGCCCCCCTCAGTCTGCAGGGGCACCACGGCCAGGGTCACAGCGCAGCCCCTCTCCGCACCCCGCCGGGGAGGGAGGGGCGCGGGGGTCCCGGTCTCACCATGGGCGCAGTGGCCTGGCCTGGCCAGTGGCATTTCGGGAGTGAAAAACCAGCCCCGTGGGTAGGGGCACGGGGAGCCATCTGGGTTTGTCCTTAAAAACAGGATTTCACGGGTTACACCGTCACGAGGATGATGTCATGCAGCCTGACAAAATGCCCCTGCCCGCCTCAGACCGGCGTGGTTCGTCTGTTGGCCGGGTTGTTGTGCAAAGACTCCTTGAACTCTTTGGGGATGGAGTTATGGACCTGTAAAAAACCGTGGTCCCGCTCCGAGTTAAGCAGTGTCCCCATGGTGACCTTGGAGGGATCCCTGGAGAGGGTGAACATGGAGATGTCGGTGGAGGGGATGGTGCTGAACCCCTTGCTGACGGGCGACATGTCCCGGGACCGGGGCTCGGTGGAGCGAGAGCTGGACCGCCGGCGGAAGCGGTACCTGTAGGGAGGGAGGCGGGTGAAGGCCGACTTCTTCAGCAGCTCTGAGTGGGACTTGGCACGGATCTGGCGGTGCTTCTCGATGTACATGTGCACGGCGATCACCCCCACCATCTCTGCGATGATGAAGGACAGCGCTCCAAAGTAGAAGGACCAGCCGTAGGAGTAGCTCTTCTTGGAGTCGCTCTGCCCTGGGTCCCCCGCGTTGGCCGAGATGTAGACTATAATCCCGATGATGTTGCTGAGACCTTTTCGGGAGAACAAGAGGGAGAGGCGCTCGCTTGAGCAGCAGGAGAGGGACGGGGGACAGCAGCACCCCAATCCCCTCCTGGCAGCAGAGGGACAAGGCTGGAGGGGCCCGGCCTTTCTCCTGCCCACCACAACCTGCGGCAGGCGGGGAGGGCGTCAGGGGCCATGGCCACATCCCCATGGGGCACCAACCCACCTGCCAGCACACCGGGGCCGAAACCCCTCTCAGACCTCTGCTGCTGTCCCCGGTATACAACTATGCTCACGTGCACCCGGTATATTTGTATGTTCACGTATACTGAGGGAGCAGGAGGAGCAACCGCTATTCTGTTTAGAAAAAGGGACGTTTCAAGAGCTGGTTTGGCTTTGCAGAGCTGCTCACTAAGCGATGCAGGAGCCCAGCCGGTGCCGGGGCTGTGGCCGGAGCAGAGCCAACCCACGGGGCACGGAGGGGGGCCCTCTGGCCT